AATATTTTCTGATAGTTTTGGAGTGATGTTGTTCTTACTGCTTATCACCTTATTAATCGTATGTCATACTCTGTGTTAAATGGGCAAAGTCCATATTTTGTCTTTTTTCCTGGTAAGTCCTTATTTTCTCTAACTTCTAAGATTTTTGGATGTGTCTGTTATGTTCACAATTTGGGTCCTGAGTTTGATAAACTTGACCCTCGAGCTACCAAATGTATATTTCTTGGTTATTTTCGCACACAGAAGAGATATCGTTACTACAGTCCTTTTCTGCAATGATACTTTACTAGTGTCAATGTAACATATGAGGAATCTATTCCATATTTTTTAACACCTTCTCAGCCTTTGGATTTGGACTTTGGGTCATCTATTATACCACCATGTCTTTCCTCATCTTCAGATATTTTGTTGTCCACTGTGTTACCATCTACTTTACATCTTCATGTATACTCTCGTTGTCCTCGACCATTTACTGAGGTGCTCGTACCATCTTCCTTGCCGCCTGTTGATCCTGGTCCATCAGGTAATTTAGACTCTTTACCTATTACTCTTCGAAAAGGTACTCGTTCGTGTGTTACTAATCATTCCATTGCTCATTTTGTTTCATATGATGTCTTGTCTCCTGTCTTCTCTTGTTTTACCTCTTAATTATCTACTATATCTATTCTTAAGCATTTACAGGATGTATTATCTGATCCGAGTTGGAGGAAAGTTATGGAGGATGAGATGAATGTCTTACATCATAATGGGACTTGGGATCTTGTTCTTTTACCTCCTGGTAAACGAACTATTAGTTGTCGTTGGGTGTATACTATTAAATTTCATCCGGATGGTTCTGTGGAGCGTCTCAAAGGCCGGCTTGTTGCAAAGGGCTTTATTCAGAACTATGGTGTTGATTGTGAGGAGACTTTCTCTCCTGTTGCTAATATTTTCTTTGTTCATATCTTGATTTTTTTGGCTGTTAATCTTGATTGATCCTTGTTTTAGTTAAACGTTAAAAATGTCTTCCTACATGGTTACTTGATTGAAGAGGTATACATGGAGCAACCACTTAGGTTTATTGCTCAGGAGAAGTATGGTAAGAATGTATGTTGTTTAAAAAAATCTTTGTATGGTTTGAAGCAGTCACCGAGAGCATGGTTTGGTAAGTTTTCAGATACAGTTTTAGAGTTTGGTCTTCTTCGATGTCAGACAGGCCATTCTGTGTTTCATAGATAGACGGATGCTAGATATGTTCTATTAGTAGTCTATGTAGATGATATTATAATCACTGAAAATGATTCTGAGGGAATTGTCAACTTAAAAATTTTCTTGCAGATTGATTTTATACTAAGGATTTGAAAAAATTCAAGTATTTTTTGAGAATTGAAGTGACTCGATTTAAATAGGGTATTTGTTTATCACAAAGGAAATATGTACTTGACATGCTAGAGAAAGCAGGTTTGTTGGGTGGCAGACCAATTGATGTTCCTATGGATCCAAATCAGAAACTATTGATGGATGATAGTGCACTGTTTGAGAATCCGGGTCGGTATCGCAGATTAGTTGGGAAGCTCAATTATTTCACTATTACTCGACCGAATATTTTCTATGCAATCAGTATAGTAAGTCAGTTCATGGGATGTCCTAGAGTGCCACATTGGGAGACAGTTATTCGTATTCTGCGATATTTCAAACGAGCTCCTGGACTTGGACTGTTATATCGAGCTAATGGACATGGTAGAGATCGAAGATCAACCACTGGTTATTGTACTTTCTTAGGAGGTAATGTTGTCTCATGGAAAAGTAAGAAACAATCTGTGGTAGCAAGATCCAGTGCTGAGGCTGAGTATAGGGCAATGACGCATATGACGAGTGAGTTGACTTGGCTACTACACTTCCTCCAGAAAATTGGGTTTCCAGTTCAACTTCCTTTACAGTTATTCTGTGACAACCAGACAGCTATTCATATCGCTGTCAATCTGGTGTTTCACGAGAGAACCAAACATATTGAGGTTAATTGTCACTTTATTCGGGACAAGATAGTAGCTGGGAAGATTACAATTCCATTTGTAAAATCTGAAGATCAGCTCACAGATATGTTTATCAAAATATTGAGTCGTACACGTCTTACAGCGATTTGTTCCAAGCTTGGATTATATGATATATATAGTCTAGCTTGAAGGGGAGTGTTAAGAGTATTAGGGTAGTATGTGTAAATTTTTAATAGCAAGAGGGTGCATGTGTAATTCTTATTATTGTGTGTTAACTATAAATACAAGTGATGTATAAGAGTTAGGTTAAGTTTATAACCTCTCTCTGTCTTTTTAATATTGTGTTATGTTATTTCTCTCAACTTTACAATATGAATAAATTACAATTTTATATAATAGTGGCCGTTGAATAAATTGACATTTTTTTTAATCCATTTTATTTTGTATCAACTTTGTAGTAATTTGTGTTTTATGCAGGAGTACTGTCCTTCTGTGAAAAACATTCTTCTTCTGGATTCGGAAGGGAAGCGTATAGCTGTCAAGTACTATTCTGATGACTGGGCGACGAATACTGCAAAAGAAACTTTTGAGAAATCTGTATTTACAAAGACTCAAAAGACAAATGCTCGGACAGAAGGTTCTGCGTTACTGTAAAATATTTTCTGATGGCTTCCTTTCTGTCTATTCTTGTGTTCTTCAGGCTCACATATGTTTTGAATTGCCTCTTATTCCATGCTTAATATGCATATATGTTGTGCTTTGCTGAACTCTTGTTTGCTAGTATCAACTTATGTCTGTGCTGTGTGTTTTCTTTCAGTGGTTTGACAGTTGCTTGCTGGTAACTTTATGTAAACAGAGATTTCTATTCACAACGGATAATGAAATAATCTATTGTCGGCGACTTAAAATAGGACCCTTGATGGAGCTTAATGGGAAACACTAAATTGTACATAAACTCTAGTTGGGATAATACTTTGTTGGTTGAGTTGAGTCTGCTGCCAAACTTAATTCCATTGTCCTTGTATTGACAGATATTTTTATGTTACCGGTGGGGTATTCATGGTTGTTCTTTTTAATGTTGCATTTTATTGGTACGAATGGTAACCCTGATAAGTGGTAGCAAATAGAGAGATTCATTACGTAATTTAGTAAATTAAAATAGTGAAAGGACATGAGTTTTAATAAAAATCTCTTGCCTTTATACCACCAACTGTTGGCGTATGCTTAACTGGTAGTATTCCTTTCGTCGTGAAAGGGGGAGACGTAAATAATCCCTAGAACAAATATTTTGACCATTTAGTTAGACTATGCCTCTTCCTATCAAAAAAAAAAAAGGTTAGACTATGGCTCTGGCTAGCGGGCACCATATAGCGAATACTTTGTCTTATTAAAACTGCAAGAATATATAGATGATTAGATACAATACTCTGTCTCGATGTATTCCTCGTTTTGAGATGTTGAAGACATAATATCTTTATTTTACTTTCCAGAAAAAAACCATCTTTATTTTATGTTGCATTTGATGTTACCTACTTATTGTCTTGCACTTTCTAATTCATTTGCAGCGGAGATCACAATGCTTGAGAGTAACATTGTTGTGTACAAGTTCATTCAAGACCTTCACTTCTTTGTTACCGGGGGTGAAGAGGAGAATGAACTAATCTTAGCCAACGTTCTTCAGGCTTTCTTTGATGCTGTTGGTCTCCTCCTGAGGTATTTTGTAATAGATATTCTTGTCATTTACTTTTTTTCTGCATTGCAAAAGTTTGTTATTTTGACTGTCATTTTTTGGTGCTCGTGTTGCAGGGGCAATGTTGACAAAAAGGAGGCACTTGAAAATCTGGATCTCATTCTTTTATGCATTGACGAAATTGTTGATGGCGGGTATGCAACACTTCCTTTGCAATTAATTATGCAGTCGTTTTTCTCTTATGGCTTACATCTATATCTGACTAGTAGAAAAAATACATAATTCCTGTGCAGAATTATTCTTGAAACTGATGCAAATGTGATTGCCGGAAAGGTTGCAAGCCACAGCATGGATGCTGGAGCACCTTTATCTGAGCAGGTATTGTATATTTTGGTACTTCTCTGCTCCCTCCCAGTTATGAGACGCTTAAAAAAAATGAATGAATAAATAGGCAGCATCTCACAACCACGGAAAATTGAAATTATTTTTGACATCAAATACGTGCTTTAACTTATGTACTCTTGGTTCTGCAGACAATTAGTCAAGCATTGGCCACTGCACGCGAACATTTCACAAAATCCCTGCTGAGGTGACAGTTGTTGGAACTTAGCAGAACAAACTAGAACAAGGCAGACTCCTCTGAATTTGGTTTCTATTCTGATTGCTTGTTGATCGTCAGTGTGTCTTTAATTTACTCTCTGGGCTTTGAAAATCTCTGTTTTGGTCTAAGGTCGGCATCTTTTCCATTGTTTGATGAGATTATAGTTTTACTTTATACAGAAAATTGAATACAGGGTGTTTTGAGATGGGCGTTTATCAAATTGCAGAAGCATCGTCGTAGGCCATGTTTATATAGCTGTTCAAGCATTTACCGGAAGCCAAAATGGAGGTGTTATTGTCGAGTATATGGACAAGCAGTTATTAGAAACATAAAGCATCAGAATCCAATCGAAGATAACTCTCAGATGTGGAAATGGTAACACAACGATTCTTCTTGTAAAGAGTTTGTGTTACACATTTCCACCCACTGAATAAACAAAAATACAAAGAGACAAAAATAAGAATTAGATGATCACCTAGACAAAATTTCACCATTGTCAATTCTTCATTCTCTCTCCATGTACAATGGATTTCCATCATGCTCTATGTTAGTTATGGACTATGGTGTCTCAAGAACTCACCCATCCTAACCCACCCCCCAGCCTCAGCCCCACGCAAGCAATGACGACAAATTTCCCCCAAGAAATGTCATCCTTTTCTCCAAAAAGGGGAAGATGAAGTATCAAAAACTTTTTTTATCTCAAGAAATTATGACGCAAAATCGACCAAATGTGATGTCAAGCGATGAGAACATAATCTGCATCATCTGGGAACCGATCACCAGCAGTCGGGGGCAAGCTATTCCGGGAAACAGGTTTATGAACCTGGGCATGAGTCTCTGCCTCGTGCTGGAACAAGTTGACTAGCTCTTGCAGCTCCAACTTCCTAACTTCGACCTGCTCTTCAGAGATGGGCTTTTTCAACCCAAGGTAGAGCAATCCAACGCCAATCAGCACGAATCCTATGAAGAAGAGGAGAGCTGAAAATAGACCAAAAGCATATGGTGTGTTCTCTGCTCCGGGAATCCCATCAAGGTTGACTCCAAACAGCCCAGCTATAATGGAAAGAACCATGCCACATCCGCCAAAGACGGCCAAATTGTGGGTGACTCGGAGGCTTTTGTCCTGAAATACACGTAGTATAAAACTCACTTTCAAATTTAGACATACAACACCCAAAAGTTGCTTGTGCACATAAGCATACGCGTGCAAGCACGCACACACCCACACACACACAGATTCATGCACCAAACTTTTAGGGAATACAGTGATATGCTAGAAACCCTGGCAAAATAATTCATTAGCAGGACACAGCGGTAAGCTATCTAAGCCAAAAAATTATGATATGCAGACAAGTAAGTTGGCTTAAAAGAACCAATTCAAGTAAGTTGGCTTAAAAGAACCAATGCAGCAAGCTCTTTGAATACAATATAGAGAGAATTTTTAAGTATAGTAGATTTGAAGGGATTGAGGACACATTAATACTCCTCTTTTTAGTATTACAGCAAGGTGGACAGCATCAAGTGGATTGTACCGTGGCCTCAATGTTCTAGTTTTCTGTTTTATACTTTCTGTTTTACTAATCATTAGGTTGAGACTTGTCCTCTTCTGATTGATTCTTGTACCACTGTTTTTATATCATTTAGTAATAAAATTGTTGTTTCTTATCGAGAAAAAAAACAAAGGAGAAAGGCACATCTGAGTCACCACAGTATGCAATACCCTACTTTTGTGAAGCAATAAAAGCAATAAGAAAAACAGCACCTACAATGACCATGTTGCCCGAAATTAAAACACTGTATGCTCAATTCACCTTTTTTTATGCAAAACGGAGTATACATCTACTGCACTGTCATTGCTGACATCTTTACTGTCTATGGGTTTGCAATTTATCACCTTATTTTTTCACTGGTTCAAGGTTCAAAGATCTTGAAGATCAGAAAAGTGATGTTGGATGCTTATCTTTCAACATCAATATAGTATAAGTAGATTCTGGACAAGGAAATCGAGGAGGATCAAAGTTTCCAGAGAAAAGGTTAGGGTGTGTGAAAGGAGGTAGGGCTATTAAAGGCAAACGAGGATAATGGAATAAAGGAATTCTGGGGGCATAAGGTGGCTGCTCTTGTACTGTCGACAGTGCCTTCAACAGTTATAGGCAGTGTTTATGGATGCTGGGTAGTTCGGATTGGAACTTGGTTGAAGGTGAAGTTTGAGCTTGATTAAGTAGGGTTTTTCGGCTGGAAAGGGGAGTTTTGCAACTCTATGTGCACATAGTAAATAGTGAGAATATATTAAGAGACCAGAGGGAAGGGGGAAGCCTATAAGTCACACCTAGGTTGTTAGGTCTCACACCTCCAAGATGATGCCTCGAGCATCACAATTGATGGAATCTCTTCATTCATTCTACCAGGAACAAAACTAATATAAGGAATATGCATAAATTTAGGACGCTACACAAGAAAACCAAGAACTTGGTGGTCAGGTAACTCTTGGTAGGTAGCTAATTATGAGTAAGTTATAAACCATTATTTAGACCACTAGACCCACTAAATTTGACCCATGATAAATCAACGAGCCAACAATACAAGATGCCATCTGAACACAGCAAAAAATCAGCAAATAAACTTGGAACAAATATCATAACAAGTTATATATTAAAATCTTGTAAGCATCTTATTGGCCTGCAAATCTGATTTTCTCTTTCTGTATCACTACATGAACTTTCTGGGTAGTTTGTGCCACAAAGTGTATAGAATGAACAACTTCACTACCATAACATTCAATATTTTTACAAAGTTGAACAGTGAATTTTAGCACAAACCTGCAACCATGCACGGACACTACTCTGCATGACGTCTTGAATGGTGAATAAGCGATCACGATTTGCTTCTTGCTCCTCAATCATTTCTCTTGTACTCTTTCTTATATCCTGTAGCAAGCTTTTAGTTGCATCCCCTTTCAAATGTTGGAGAAGTTCAAAAACAATCTCCTCCCTCGCATGGAGTGACCATTTGACTCTGATAACCTACAATGGGCAATGATTATAGGAATGGAAATGCCAGGTATAAATTATGATGCAAGCTCTATGACTTAGCACCAAAGTAATTTCAAAAGTGAGAGATAACTGGCAATGTCAAGAATAAAATATAAAATATTAGAATGCACGTTAATAAGTTATGAAAACGCCAATTCATTCATTCAAACTCACAGCAATATGTGCTGGCCAAGAAGAAAAACAAAGCTGAGCCTCTTGGGGTTATGTATTATTAAGTCTGCAGCATGTTCGAACTTATGAATGCATAATAGCTTTAAATGATATAAGTTTCCTGATTTTTTTAGTTTCAATATGTCCCTTATTTTTTATTAAGTTATGTAAATAAGACTGTGGGTCGATCAAATGAGTTATCCTTATTAGTTGACATGTATACAAGAATGGTAGGAGTGGGTTAGTGCACAAATACGTATTATTACGTGTGAGGCAGAATGTGATATAATAGCACAAACACTTGTTTCATCCAAGAGAAACTCAAAAGGATGTACGATGTACCATAAATGTAGCTAAATTTGGACTCGAACAATATTTAAAATGCAAAATGTTTGCCAAGAACTTCTTGAGTGAAGTTTTGTATTATCAGTTGAAGGAGAAAATATTTTATCAACCTCAGATACCCAACTAGGAATCTAGGACATGTTTAAAATGATCCCACCAGCTTGCAAAGTGATTACCACCCTAGTGAGATTTAACTTTGGCCCCCAAAAGAAAACTATTCTTTCGGCCAACTATACTCTCATATAATTAAATCTCTACTTTGTTCTTGGGAATATGAATATAATAAAATTACTATTGCATGGATGATAGCTAATACTGCAGCAAAGATTCATGAAAATGACAACAGCAAGCTTAAAAACAGCCATGGGCTACCAACTTATCCAACTTGCTGAGATGTTTCTGAAACCCTAAGTTTCCACGGATTCAATATTCCTCAAAAAATAGTTCATGAGGGGTTAACAGCCAGCTAAGTAATGCTTTTCCTTGTCGCTTAAGTTTCTTTTTGCTACTTATTCGTGCACCAAAGAAGTTAATCAATAGGTAAGTGTTTAAACATCTCAATAAGTTAACAACTAGCCTTTTATAATCTGCTGAAGAGAGTTCGTGGTTTTCGCCCCAACCCTTACTTTTGCCTTTGAAAAAGATCATAACTTACTTGACATAATTTAGCAAAGCTTTGTCCAATACAACATTGATCTAGGTCATAAGTGCATCAACTGAAAGTCACAAAGAATAAAGGTGATGTTAGGCCTACTATAAGACATAAAAGTTTGCATTGCTGGTCACATCTCACTTGCTGCTTCAGTTCTAAAGTATGCAATTCTGGTTGTCCATTGATGATGGTGTTCAGAGGTGGAATTTAATCTTCATTTGAGCCTGAAGTATATTACCTGTCTTGATAATCTTCTGATTTCTTGGTTCAGAATAACACTCAAGAGATTCAAATCTTCTTGGCTTCTCCTACACAAATGAATATATGGTGATTACAAATATAGCAGGTTTGGGGAGAAAACAAAAAAGGAAAAGCATTCATTCCAAAAGAATTAGTTTGATGCATACCTGTTCATAAACTTCAACTCCACTGCATCAGCTGCCCCAAATATAGATTTTCGAAATAGTCTTAGAGTACAAAAGCATGAGGCAAAAACAATTTTCAGAATCCTCTTGAAGGATAAAACTATTTGACGATGAATAATGTTAATGATAGGTTTGTAATGTGCAATTCATGTCTCACTGTAACCCATGAGAATGTTATAGTGTTAAAAACCTATGAAGCACGGATACTTTGTCAAGGTAGCCGTACTCACATCGGATACCCTATTGGATATGATATTCATCGGATACTCAAAGATACGTATGGATACGCATCATACATATCCTATAATTAATAAAATATTTGGATACTTCGCGAATAATTCTAAAAATGGAGTAAGATGTACAATTTTTAATTTTAATCTATACCCTCTTCTTTCAAGTTCACATATAATACAAAACATTAATAAAATTTCATTTGATTTTTAAAAATACTAGTGTTTTTGAAGTATTATATACTATTACATGTCAAAAGAATATAAAAAAATAATTAGTCAAACTATTATCTTAAAAATAAATACTTGTAAACAAACCAACTAATTAATGTGATTCTGATTTCTTTAATTGGTCATGCTTATTTTATGGATATATCATAATGAGATGACATTATATTTTTTTAATGTAAAAGTTCCTAGTTTTGCTTGCTATTGTTAAGGAATTATTGAAAATTAAAATTTTAAGTCGTTAGAAAATAGTAAAATATAAAATATATTAAAATTTTATTATAGACGTATCTTGACCATACTCATATTTTATTTTTTTAAGTTTTATTATATCGCCATATTCATATTGTACCGTATCGTATCCCTATCTGTGCTTTCTAGTTGCCAACTCTTGGCCACACATAACATTCTTTAGTACAAAACACAAAAACACAGATTTACATAGGTTAGAGCAGCGAAAGACGAAAATATCGCCCTCACCTATCATCCCATCGAGCAAGGCGGCTAGCCAGATGTGCTATGACTTCATGTATTGTCTTTGGTGTATTATACCCACCACCAGAAAGAAGTTCCTGGACCAGGCAGAACACCAATAACTACTGATTATTACTCAAACAAAAGAAAACAGCAAAATCTGTAAACATAGAAGGCATCATGAATACTTCTTGATTGATAATTATTTCCCAACTTTTTGCAGTAAGAACAAACCTGAATTTCTGTGATGCCCAGCACATTGACACATGATGCAGATCCTTTAATGTGCAACACAGATATTAGGAAGTTTTGAGCTTGCCAAGAACGAAGCACAATGGGAATGTCATCTTCGTCAACAAATGGATCACCAGCTGATTGACCCAAAAGCTCAAACAACAGCCCTCCAGCAACCCTAACTGGGACCTGTATAAGGTAAGAATCAGAAGCATCACATCAAACAACACCTGATTTCATGAACCTTTGTCGCTTAAAATACTTGTGTAATTATCTTCAATTGGTCTTAAAGGACTATATATGGTGCCAGACATAAATCACAGGCCCATCATCCAATTACTGAGGAGAAACAGTAAGCAACTAGTAAGTAATCGATCGGATACTCATTGTCGCATAGATCTAAGATAGAACCACTAACCTAAACAGATCACTTAAAAGCAAATTACTATCGAAGCAAACAACTACGGAGCTTTTGGCGATTCGGCCAAAATACCATGTTTGTGTAACTTGTGGCTTGGTCTTTCTGTCAGTAGAAAGTAAAATCAAAGCAAAATGAAGGTTCATTTGGCTTCCAGAAGTGATCTCATACCATCTGTGGTAAAACCAAACATTAACCAGTGAACAATAACACGTACATGAATGGAGGCCCTCACCCACGCAGCCCAAACATACACACCCCGACTCCCCCTTCCCCACAAAGAAGGACGTTCTGATACAAGAACGCAGCATCATTCCGCTGCTTGGTGTCCAAAGATCATATATGGAATATTCAAACTTCAAAATGCTACGTAATAAAGTTTACCAAGAAATAGTACCAGAAGAAGTTTACTTAAGAAGTAACCTGAAGTTCTACAATATAGTTGGGGCTCATAAACTCCTAAAGAGAGGCATCCTCTGAAAGCCCCAACTTACCAAAACGCAATTTGGAGAAACCAGAAGAAAATGTGAGAAGATTGCCTACTCATAAGAATTATCGGTTCAACAAAGATGTAAGCTGAAATTTGATATTAAATATTACAGCATCTCAACCACTTAGAGAGAGGTACGCCTCTAAAGCCCCAGCTCACAAACAATAATAAATTTCATACATCCCCATAATCCATTAACCAGCTGGTCCAGACAAAAGGGATTGCTTGGAGGGTGGACTGGATACGGGCCTAAGGCCTGGTTATACATGCACATTGTAACTATTTTCACCTTCAAATAATGTAATTACATTCATGCACTGGCTGAGAGGATTTAGTTGAAAACTTCCAACCAAGCTATCCTCTTGATACCATAATAGAAAATCCCTGGGCCAAACCTAAAAACAAATATATAACATCCTTTTAATCTTTAAATATGAAAAATCGATTCAGATATTCTGATCACATTAGTTAATCTCCTCAAGAACAATATACTTGTCATTTTTCCAAGTGAAGCACTAACCTCATGCATACATGAAGTTTTCATGCAAAGGATAATAGGAAGAGAGGATCTGCCAAAAAAAAAACTATAAAGAAACTAAAGCTCATGGAAACAGAGGGGAAGAGTATTGTGAGAGAGCCTATACATTATTAGAAAATATTTTTGGCTTTGTTCTTTTCAGATGACAGGACCAGTCTGTTAGACAACAAAAAACTGTAACTAATGAATCTTATGACGGACAAAAAACAATGCATAAAAATAAGACTTGAGAAACTAAAAGTACAGATAAACAAATAAATAAATACCATCTCAGCTGTTGACATTTTTTATCTTAAAAAAATTAAAGCCTTTCCTTAAATATCGGAACTCAGAAAAAAAAATGTTTTTTCTCTTTCTGATAGCTTCTCCCCAATTTTTCATCAATGTATCACGGTTATGTAAATTATACCCTTTAAAGAGATGATCTTTAATAAAACATAATTCTATTTTTCAACTTAAACCCACTGGATTTGCAAGACATTTTTGCCTTTTTGCAATATTTCCCAGGAGGTCTCCATTAGTTATACACTTATACTGAGAAATCATTTACAGTTTATGGTTTCAGAGATTATTTTGCATCTGATGTTATGTTATCTTCACAGCCCTAAATATAGATTATTTGATCATTCATCAAACACATTTAACCAGTCAAGCAAGAAGGTACATATGCTAAGCAGGCAATATACCTCATATAGGAGGTATTTCATCCGCTCACTAATTAAGCAACTTTCATCCCTTAGAGCAACACTAACAGCCGGATGCAGCCACTGAGCATTTCTGAGCCAAGCATCAATGAATGGGTGACCTGCAGCCACATGACACCACCACACAGGCCCAGCTGGTCGCTCCCAGTAAGGAGCTGCTACATCTGCAACAGTAAGGTCATCTTCATCATCCATGAAGTCAAATCGCTGTGAGGCCCACCCAGAATCAACTTGCACTGTTTGCACTAGCTCATGAATCCTTGCCCATCCAATTGGAATCCAATGACTCCCTTCAAATCTATCCAT